GTCAGGGAGACTGAACCTTGCTCAGCTCCTTGCCTCTGTAGTCCACTAAGATAGCCTGTCGCTCCATGCCACAGGGTGACCCTTGAAGGCCCACCAGGGTCATCCATGGAGAAGCTGCTCTGAGCTGGTGATAGGCAGACTTGGTTGATTCAAGACCAGGAGACAGGGTCCTCTTGTACTTTAGCCACCAGGTTTGCCCTGGTTCAAGCCAGTGCAGCTCCTGCTTGAGGATGACTACTGTGCTTTTAGGGGACTATGGGTCCCTTGTCATCATGGGGAATCGACATATGTAAAATCCCGATAGATGTTTGCAAAGGTCTTGGGCGGCTTCTGCCCAAAAAAGGCCTTTGCTGTGTGCTCAGAGACTCTTGAGTGACATCAGACTCTAGTAGGACATCATTTTGCAGCTTTTCCTCCCTGGGGCAAACTGTATTCTTCAGGACTCACCAGCTCTATTTGTGGCAGAAGGCACATGACCAATGAAGACGGCTGTGCTGTTGAAGCTCATACCTCTTCTGTGTTTATGGCTCATTGGGGATCTGCGTCTTTACTTAAGAGTGGCATGGAGGGAGGAGGGGCTGGAATACTGGAAGCTACAAGTTGGGTTCTGCTTCCTTGGATCAGAGGTTTTAAGGCAGAATTGTTAAAGCCAGCTCTGGGGTATGGAAAGGAGCCACTAAGCAAAGAGCAGAGGGAAGAACGTTCTAAGAACATGTGAAGGCACGGTGGCAGGCAAGAACCGGGCATGTGTGAGGGATGAGAGGAGTCCCGGATGTAATAAGCTCAGGGGAGTTGGCCTGGGCTGGAATGCACAGGCTTCAAGAAACATGACAAAGAGTTTGGGTTTGAAAATGATTGAAGCAGGAGAGTGCCAGGGCCTGGTCTACTGTTTGTATTTCCCAAAAGAGCAATGCGACAGGTTATGAGTGGGGCTTGGGCTCGAGATGGGGAGCCTGGTAACGAGAGCAATGTCAGGGGTTCCTGCAGCATTTCTGGGGAGGCAGTGGATGGCGACCTGGACTAGAGAGGTGGCACAGGAGGCAGAAACCATTGTTCACCTCCGTTCCCTCAGAGCTCCTCCCCTGTCCATGGAGCAAGTGGAAGGACTCAGTGCTCACAGCGTAGATGGACAGAACCCATCAAGGAAGCTTTTAATGTTGCCTGTGGTCTATTTCATGTTGGTTACCTCTCTGTCACTGTGAAACTGCCAGAGACTCACAGTTTTAGAAGATTCAGTGCATGGCCCATTGGCTCATTGCTTTCAGATCTGTGGGAGGCACTGCATTGTTTGTCCGGGAGTATGGCTTGCACCTTTCACCTCATAGTGGCTGGAAAGCAAAGGACAGGAAAGGGCGGATTATTATATTCCCTCAAGGACATATCCCCAGTGAGTCAAGTCCCTCTCATCATGTCCCACCCCTTGAAGGTCTGCCACCTTCATGTGATGAGGATGAAACGTGTGAGCCCCCAGGAAATGCTTGCGATACAAACCAGGACGATGTTGTTGGTTATCAGGACATCATTATTGCTATAGTCACAGCAATAGATGTTGAGCATCCTCTGGAGTGGGGAGTGAATGAAAACAAACCACGCCATTGTTCCATCACTGACTGGGAGGAAGTGAGGATGCACCTGTCCATTCCCTGGCTGGAATGTCTCTCTAGGCCCTAGCAGGGCAGGGTGGTATGAGGGAGGGTAAGGGGTCTGTGATGGGGTCCTGTTTGTGTCTTTGTCCTTCTGAGAAGAGGCAATGCCTACATGTAGTAGGCATGGATGCTCCTGTTTTCAAGGGAGCCCCAGTTACTGGACAAATAGGAGTCCTTTTCTTATGCTTGGAAGAGGAATATGCTCTAGACCTCTTACCTGTTTCCATGTGGCCTGGTTTGCTGAGCTGCTATTCTGGGATTTTCTTGGGCACCAGAGCACCCATGGATAAAGCCCAGTAAGGCTAGAGCCAGATCAGACTTAACCGGTGGCATCAGTTCAGCTGGCAGCCAGGAGGCAAAGCTTTGAATCAGCCTTATAATTTGAAAATTGGTCTTTGTGTTGGGTGGTGATTTTGTGCTAACAAAAAGCATCAGAGAAACAATGCGGGCTGCCCTACCTTCGTGGTGTTATTCTGGACTCAGAATCCTTGCTACAGAGATGGGCGTTCTCCACTCCTGGGACTCCTGGATGTTTGTAGTTCTCATTGTGAGTGCTCCTAGAGGCACGCCTAGAACCTCAGGTCTGGATAGAAAAGTGACTTGGACAGACCAAGGTCACAGTCTCCACAGCCCTCATGGAGACTGACCTTGGAGAATATACTTCTTACCATTCTGCATGTGACAGTTATGATGGAAGTGCCCTTTATCACTCAAAGGCCGTAGCAGTGTTTGAAGATAACTGTATTCTTGTCCCCTGGCCAGGGACAAGTTGAAATTACGTTCCCCTGCACTTTCAGGCCCCTGCATATGTGCTTTCTCCAGATGGCATGTTCCAGAGGTATCCTGGTGTTATGAAAATGGCTCTCAATATAAATAAGAAACCCTAGGGAGTATGAGGGTGCTCAGAAGTCCGTACAAGAGGCCTTGACATTGGTAGACCCCATGGTTTATTCAGGGAGACCCTGTCTTTTGCTTAAGGTGCCCAGGAACCCTTGCTGCTTTTTACACCAATGCTTTCCACGTTCTTAAGAGACACCCCAGAGCCCTAGTGCTGCTTGGTTCGTGATATGAGGCAGCTACTATTTGAACAATGGTGGTCTCGACTAAAGGCCGTTGTGATGCATTGACATGAGTAGGAAATTGGGGTGCCGCAAGGCTGCCAGTAGGGGAACATGGCTGCTTTTATAGATGCGGGGGAAGATCAGTCCAGGAGCTAAAACAGCATCCACTAAATTCTGCCAATGCCAAATAGAGTCTAGAATGTCAAGCTTGCATGCCACAGATAGAACAAAAAGCAGGGAAGAATTAAGTTATAGCCCAGTTTGCCAAACCAAGATGGAACACAGGGCCACTTTGGAATTGGTCACGCCAGTGTAAGAAAATGAAACAGGGATACTTTCCACTCTCAGTCACCAGGGAGGTCCCTGGGAAGTCACCATAGGTGTTACTATTGGAGATGGTGCTCATTAAATATAGGTATCCATCACTTTCTCCTCTGCCCAGAAATACCAGGAGGTGCAGATGTATTCCTGGGCTGTGTGCACACACGTGTGCATGTGAGTACAGTGTTGAAGGAGCTGAGGAGGGAGGGGTATAGTGTGGCAGTTCACGATGAGTTCTGAGCGCAGCAGAATCTTCCACTGTCTCATTTTGTGACCTTTAGTGAGTCATGTGCTCCTTTGTTTTCTTGTGTGTCGAATGAAGGCACTTATCTTGCCGCTGAGAGAGCAGCTCTGCTTCAGCTGCCTTGACTAATCCAAACCCGCGTTCTGCTCTGGAGTCTTAATAAGGAAACCCAGTTCCCAGCCTTCTTGGGACCTTCCTTACTTTATACTTCGGCATCTATATATTGAGAGCAGGGCAGGAAATGACAAGCTGTGACAGAGGGGTCTGTTCTTCACAAGCCTGGTACTCTGGTAAATATGCTGTGTCCCTGGGGTGCAGCAGCTGCCTGGAGCCACTGGGCAGAGCAAGGGAAGAGAGTGAGGGGGTTGTGTGGTGAGGTGAGTATGTTAGGGAAGTAAGTGGGTATAATGGAGACGCTTTACCAGGATCTGTGGAATAAAGTGCAGGTCCAATGCTACAGACAGCAGACAACAGCTGTGCAGGTGGCTGATGACAGCTGGTACCAACGAAGGCCTGATGTGCTTGCCTTTCTATCCTGTGGGTGATGAGTGGATGGCATCTGTGCGTTTCTCACACCTTCCCCTCTGTCCACGGTAGACAGCGATCATCTACTATGATAAGCATTCCTCTTGTGCCCGGCAACGTCTCAGTATCCCTTCCTCACCTTTTTGGAACCTGATGTCAATCATTGGACTTACAGTTGAAATTGATTGCCTGTGGCTGTTGTGCTGGGGAATGCAGACAGACTTTGGAACCCGGAAAGTGTGCCGAGCACTGTGCAAGCATGTTGCTTGGCTCTGTTTTGATTGCATGAGATAACTGACGCACCTTAACTGAGCAAAAACTAAGTTACTTTAGTGACTTAATCATCTCAGTGGTGGAAGAAAGTGGCTTGGGGAAGGCCCTACCACAAAGGTCCCAATAACTCCCAGGAGTGCTCCCTGGGACCTCTTCGGTATGGTCTTGGAGGGGGGCATTCAACATCCAGATCACTTCGCTGGATAGGAGCTTTCTTTAGCTTAGCCCCGTCCCTGTATTGCGTTTGTCTTTGCTGTAGGAGCTCCAGTCAGTGTTGAGGGTATCCTCCCTGCAGTGTACTGTGTGTTTGCATCGTTGGTTCCTGAGCTGGGGTGCCACTCATTAGCTTTTCCTTCTTCCTAAGTCCTATACTCTACCCTCATTTCTCCCTTTCCTTTCCTTGTAGCTGTGGAGCCTGTCCTGGAACTCACTCTGTAGACCAGGCTGGCCTTGAACTCACAGAGATCCGCCTGCCTCTGCCTCCCCAGTGCTGGGATTAAAGGCGTGTGCCACCCCTGCCTAGTCTCCCTTTTTTTTTCTCTAAGTAACCATTTTATTCGTGCGTTCTTATAAATATGTTAAGGCCCATATGTGGCCTTAATTTCCCCTTCCCCGGAACTCTCACTATCTCAGTGCTAGGAAAGCACAGTCTCACCCCTTGTGTGCCTGAGTCAAGTCCGTGAGACCAAAGAGCAGAGAGACATGGTCACGGTCAGTTGAACTAAGTTAGGCAAGGCCTAGAATAGATTTCCTGGCTGTAGTTCTCAGCATACATATTAGTGTTTTATGGTATGTCGCCTCCCAAATTCCCACAGCAGCCTGATAAAAAGTTTGTTTTTTCCCCCCCAAAAATTGTGTCTAGAATCCCAAGTGTGTCCCCCGTGCTTTTCTTTTCACCATAGTAACGGTAGCCTTTTCCTCTCGCTGCAGGTTCCAACTATGGGAGCCCACGCCCAGCTCATGCCAACATGAATGCCAATGCAGCTGCAGGGCTCGCTCCCGAGCACATCCCTACTCCAGGAGCAGCGCTGTCCTGGCAGGCAGCCATCGATGCCGCCCGGCAGGCCAAGCTAATGGGCAGTGCTGGCAACGCAACCATCTCTACTGTCAGTTCCACGCAGCGGAAGCGGCAGCAGTACGGGAAACCCAAGAAGCAGGGCGGCACAACTGCCACGCGGCCACCCCGTGCTCTGCTCTGCCTGACTCTGAAGAACCCCATCCGGAGGGCATGCATAAGCATCGTTGAATGGAAATATCCTTTATGCTCTGGGATGGCCGAGGTGTTCCCTTGGATCTGCCCCGTGGGGGTGGGGGACTGGCTTGCACTCTGGGGATATCAAGCGTAGACTTGCGCTGGTGATGTTAGGTTTATCTTATATTTACTGCCCCACCGATGAAAGTCAGAATTCTCGACCTCCCCGCTGGACTCCATGAGTCACTATCTCGGAGGATAAGGTCCCAGAATTTGTTGGTATTACAAGCATCCCTAAACCAAAAATCCAAAATCTTAATTTTCCTAAAGTCTAAAACTTTTATAGTAACAACACAGATGGAAAGTTGTCCATTTGATCTTCTGTGACAGGTTGCAGTCAAAATGCATGCTCTAAATTTGTGTTGTCTGTGTGTATAAGGTGTACATAGGACATAAATGAATTTCAAGGTCAGACTTGGGTCCCATTCCTAAGGTTTCTCATGAATCTGAAGAGATTCCAAAATCCAAACATGGATTTAAGCGTGAAATGCTTTGAGTCCCAAGCATTTGAGAGACAGGGCACTGGGCCTGCCACCAGTAACTTTAGAGAAAATTTGTAGGTATCAGTGTGGAATATGAACTCATATTCAAGCTACCTGCCTATGTAGTTTTCATTGTTGCTGCATGCTGCTCTATAACTTTATCTCCTATGGCATGGTGTAGCAGTAGCTCACAACTTGACCTCTTTCTGGTATGAATGGACCAGGAAATGCTTGAGAACCCCAGGGCTTGGCAGCAGGAACTCTCAGCCTGGGCTCTGCACTGGCATCACCTGGAAAGGTTTATCAAATTCTAGATGCCAAAGGTCCCACTCGTTCCCAGACATTCTACAGAGTTCTCCAGGCCAGGCTCTGGGATAGCCAAGGTTGAAAGCATCATCTAAACTAATGTGTATCTACTTTGAACACACAGGAAAGAGTGGAAGCAGGGGCCTTTAGGAACCGAGTCTCTTAAGGGCTGGAATGTTACCATGGACACAAGTCTTAATGTCTGAGTATTGAGTTACACTGGAAAAGACCTCAAAGCACAGCCCTGGCTATCACCAGGGATGAAATAAGTCACATGAAACTCCCCTGGACACGTGATCAGGAATAGACAGCATTAGATCCCTGACACTAGTGCTAGTTTTTTTTAAACTCAAATTCAAAATTGAGTTAAGAAATGAAATTCAATTTTTTAAAAAAAAACTCAAGATTCTTTCCATCTGAATGGAGTGTTCGTCTCATTTGTGAGTTTCTAGGGAAAGATTTAAAACCTTGGGTAGTGGTTGGAAGGTGAAAAGAAGACCTGAGGTGCAAACAATACCCATCGGGAATAACTGAATTCCTGTTCCAAAAGCAACTACAACAGGATGCAGTTATAGCAGCAAGGGCTGCTCCTAAATTGTCTAGTCTGCTAAACTGCACATAGTCCATGAATGGGCGAGAAACTAGACTTGGTCCATCTTCTCAGGCTGCCTTCAGAGCCATGGAGTAAGAGAACTGGGACCCAGAGATAACTACTCTGAAGGGAGAGCAGGGAGACCCTGAGATCCAAAAGACTTCCCATAAATTGGTTTTACATCCAGATTCCCCACAGTTGAAACCCATGTGCTTCCCAAACTCCCTGTGCTAAGTACTTAGTAGTGTGCCAGAGGACTAGGCAAGACTGGATAGTAACTAAGTAGAACTAGATAGTTACTAGATGCAACCAGATAGTGAGTTATTAGTTGGACAAGATATTTAACAGGTAGGACAAGGTAGCAAATTACTAGGTGGGACTAGATAGTAACGAGGTGGGACTGTGTAGTTACTAGGTAGAAACGGTTACTAGATGGAAGTAGTTACTGGATGGGAATAGATAGCTATCAACTTGATACTCAGCACGTGCATTCCAGGGTTGGCCTGCAGGGCCCAGAATCCGCAGCCCTTCCGCGATGGTTAGTGTGGTTGAACCTCCCGAGAGAGGGTGCTTTCCCACCTGGGCAGAGGGAGGGATGCAGCACCCAGTCTTAGCTGTGTGAAAGCTCCAGACTGCCGAGGTCAGATGTGGAGAGAGTCTGTGTGGTCAACAGCTCTTGAAGAGTGGGCCCTGGTGCTGTCGTCAGATGGACAGCTTAAACAGTGATTTGGTTCTTGAAGGGGGCATGATGCTTTCTGGGTGCTCCTCTGCATCATCTCAGCTGCAGCTCTCCCTGTCTGCTTGTTTGTCTTCTTGGCAGACAGAATCCTCCAGTGTCTGCCTGGGGCTTTAGTGTGTGGCAGTAGGTGCTTGCTTGTGCGTAGAGGGTAGGGGGACGGCCTTTGAAACACTTCGGTCTTGGCTCTCTAACCTGTCGAGGCACTGAGGACATCTGACCAGTAGATATTCATGGGGCCTGGCTCAGTTGCCTACCTGTACCCCTTTCTGATAGGGCACTGAACAGTAAGAATGGAACCTTGCAGCCTGGGCTGACCGTCACTGTCCTGAGCAGGTTGGGGTGTGGTTAGGAAGAGGGGCATGCGGTAGGAGGGCCAGGAGCGCTAGCTTTCTGAAATACCCTCAGGGCCACCTCGTACAGACAGACCAGGACAAAGTAGGTTCAAAACTGACTCAGAAGCCTACTCTTTGGGTTGGGTCTGGGTCTCTAACTTGATGACTTCAGACACAACACAACCTTTGTAAGCTTTAGTTCCTTCCATTAGCAGTAGAGATTATTGTCTCTTTCCAGGTGTTTGGCAGTGGGACAGGGAGTTGGGGGTGGGGAGGCAATCACCACAGAGCCTCTGGAGGAGTGCTAGGTCCTGTCCTTGCTGTCACCTCCCTAACACCAGCTCCTGTCTCCATTGCTGTTGGATCCTGGCCACCTCAGGACAGCAGGTCATAATAGTATGAACCTATTGCTTTGACTGGGCCCTGAGCCTGGCTTTGCCCCTTGCCTTCTGGAGATCTTGGACAGGTGTGATGGTGGCCATGTCTGTACAGGGGAGATTGGTTAGGCCCTGCTCACAGGTCTCTGGCGATACCAAGACACATGTGGGCAATGGCTCATCTTAAGAGGCATCCTCAGCTCTGCCCTGGGGCTGCTGGGGATTCATCAGGAAAGCAGCCATTCAGATTCTTCAGAGTGTAGCGGGCCTGTGACTCTAAGCGTAAATGCTGTGGCATGAGGTGACACTGGACATGGGGGCAGGAGATGGTTCCAGTGCTGCATGACCACTCACCTGTGGGGTAGTTCTTAGCTTTTCTGGGCCTCACAAGTTTGGAACAAGTAGTCTCTAGGGCATCTTCCTGCTTCAGAGTTTACTACTTCTGTGAGAGTTTAGTTGGTCCCTCTTCCCTGCAGTTTTCACCCGTTCCTTTCCTCCCATTAGGTTCAGTGCTGGTTAGTTTTTTTGTCAACATGGCACAAGCCCAAGTCATGTGGGGAAAGGGAACCTCAGTTAAGAGAATGCTTCCCTCGGAGTGGCCTGTAGGCAAGTCTGTGGAAATTGTTCTGATTAGTGATTGATGCAGGAGGGCGCAGCTCACTGTGGGCAGTGCCACTCAGGTTGTATAAGAAAGCTGGCTGAGCAAGCCAGTAAGCAGCACCCTCTGTGTGCAGGTCCCTGGCTCAAGTTCCTACCCCAGCTTCCCTTTGTGATGGACTACAAACTATAAGCTGCAGCGAACCCTTTCCTCCCCAGGTTGCTTTTGGTCACAGGGTTTTATCCTTGCAATAGGAAGCTAGTTAGAAGAGGCTCTGTGAAAGTGGCTGGGAACTTAGTTGTGGGAGCACAGATTGGGACTTTCTGTGAAGCTTCCCTTTCTTGCTTTCAGCGGTGGGTGTGGTATGGTCTCTGTAGGAGAGTGCTGTTACATTAACCTTCTGCTCACTGTGTCCTGCCCTGATGTTTCCATGATGAGAAAACATCAGAGTATGCTGTTACGGGTGAGTGGACCCTGGGCTGATGCTCTATAGCCCAGGCCATCACTACTCATGGTAAGAAGACCCATTAGTGGGGCCTTGTACACTAAAGACAGGGTCTCTGCAAAGCTAGTATGCCCCATTCCTCTGCGGAGCCGAACCGGGGGGAGGCAATCCCTACCTCTGACCCCACAGAGCAGATCCTGCCTGGCTTTGGGAAGTCCTAAACCCTAGGGAGGTAGAACACTCTCAACTTTGATTCCAAACACTGACAAGCAAAATCTGTAGATTTCCATGAGGGGTCGCTTTGTGTAAACCCCCACTCACTGCTCTCCCTACAGTGTATGCATGGGTCCACTGGTGACAGGCATGAGCCATGAACTGTCATGGAAATGGGGTCCTGGGTGGAATCCTTCCTGGGTCAGACGGAGCTCTTTACCCCAAGCTCACATGAGGTAAATGCAATCAAATGTAATCTAAATAAATAAAAGGGGGGAAGAAGTATTTAGAGACCTGTGTTTACGCTGGCACGCGACTGGCCTCCACTGCTCTTGACATATTAGGAAAAAATTTTGGCGGGGGTCCACTAGAAGCACTTAAAAGGCATATGTTTCTCTTCAGAATACAAGGGGCTTGGAATGCATTGTTTAAACAGAATTCTTACGAATCTTTGATTCATTAAATACTATATAGATGTATGTTTGTTTCACTTGTGTTAACAGTGGCATTAATTTCCTTAACTCCTTTCTCAGACCATTTGAAATCATTATTTTGCTGACTATTTTTGCCAATTGTGTGGCCTTAGCGATCTATATCCCCTTTCCAGAAGATGACTCCAACGCCACCAACTCTAACCTGGTAAGTCTGGAGCGTCTGCGTTTCTTACTACTTGTGGCAACTGAGCTTACGCCACATGGGTTCTGGGTGCGAGGTCGGAGAGAAGTGAGGTGTGTGTTTGACAGGTGCCAGGGCTTGGCACAGCTCAGATCTCGTGGGCATTTTGTTTTTTATTCTGATCAGTACCTGTCTTACCACGGTCTACTTCCTGACTGTTCTAATCAGGCGGCGATGAGAGTGGTGGCTCTTGTGTGACACAAATGCTCGGCTTAAGTCTTGAGTGCAGGTGTTGGAGTGAGCGTTCTTGGATCATCAGTTGTATTTTGAGTGCCGCTGTTCCGTTGTGAGGCTTTGCTTGCGTGATCATAGCATCCTGCATGATTACATGATAAATAATTTCTAGGAAGCTTTTAGCAAAGTTTTCTTTTGCGGCCAAGAAGTATCATTGAGTTAAAATGGCTTTATTTTTATTTTTTTTTTAAATTTTTTTTGGGAAAGGCGGCTTTCCATTTGGATTGCACAGAGGCCAACACTGGCAATTTGGGGTTAGAATTTGTCCATGGAAAAAGTGGAGAGTGTGTTTACTTTTGGCTGAGTGTGAAGTCATTGCAAATGCAAAGGTCTTTGCTGGTCTGGGCATGTGAGGCAAGCTCTGGAATGCACTTGGCAGAGCTGGGGCTGCCTGGAGAGCTCCAGCAAAAGCTTGCAGAGGACTCTCGACTTTCTCCTACTTGCGCCGAGACATTGGTAGTCTCCATGTGATTTTCCCAAAGCATGTTTGGTCACCAAGCCCACTGTCTTGTCTGTCACTGGTGCCTTCTAGTTCGATGAGATTGGACTTGCATGGGGTCGGTTTAGGGGAAACAGGAATGTTAGGGGATTTTCCTTCCTGTAGTTGTGGCTCCTGATGCTGTCAAAGGGGGGGGGTCCCATTTCTTTCAGAACCTTTGGCATTTCCAGAGATTAAATCTCCCAACTTGTGGGTCTCAACCCCTTTGAGGGTCACATGTAAGATATCCTGCATATCAGATATTTAAGTTATGATTCATAACAGCAACTTTATAGTCATGAAATAGCAATGAAATAATTTTTAGTTGGGGTCACTACAACATGAAGAACTGTGTTAAAGGGTCACAGCACTAGGAAAGTTGAGAACCTCTAGATTAGATGCACTTTTTAGAGTTCGCTCCAATTTCCTCAGCTTTTGCTGTTAGCTACAGACCTGTACATGGGAAGGTGTTCTTTCTTTTTTCTTTTTCTGTTTTGGAGTATATATCACAAATCCCTGTAATAAAACCAAGCCCTATAATAAATAACAGCAAAGTACAGAACTTTTCTCTTTGCACCTTTCTCTTCCTTGAAGATGCTATTCAAATGGCTGGGGAAGGTGTTCTTTCATATGTGTATGGGTTGGGGTTCTTCTGTGTCTCATGGCTAGTATGGGGGCCATGTACTGGGAATAGCTTCCCAAGTCCCCGAGATAGGCATCAAATACTGAATGATCGTATGGCTAGAGTCAGTAGGCAGGATGTGTTCTCTGTAGCCCATGCAGCCCTGTCGGTATGACCTTGTTTCTTAAAATAAAGAGAAACCCTTCCCATGTCAAGATCTTATGAGCTAAAGTATCATCCCAAAGCAGAACACCTCCCATTGGTTCTGTCTCTTTGAAGTGTTTGCCTCTCTCCTCTGCTGCCCTTCCTTTGAGCTCTTGTCCCATCATTTAACCTGAGGGAGCTTCAGAAGCAGCTCTGATTGGAACTAATTCATATCTGTTCTCAGACCAATGTATCCGTGGCTGGCTAAAACCCACAGATTCTCTCTGTGAGATGGCGGCCTGGTAGGTGATAAGGAGCCAGTGTTGAAGTTGCTCTTGGCGTGGCTAGACTTGGGAGATGATGGGGGGGTGTGGCAGTTTGCTTCCAACCACAACAGAGTGATGAAATGTTTTAAAACTAGAACTTACAAAAAAAAAAAAAAAGAAAAAAGAAAGAAAAGAAAAAAGAAAGAAAAGAAAACCAAGTTGGATAGTCAACGTTGGGTAGATTTTATGGCAAGTTAATGATTCTTTGATGTATCTATGGCTCTCATCCCCATTCTCTGCCCTGGAGATGAGGACATGTCACCAACTGGTTGGTGGGGGAGGCGGGAACCAAGGATGAATTCGAGGACCCTATAGACCAAACAACCAAGCCCAGCCCCACATGTGGGCGGAAGTACTCTGCTGTGGAGATACCCTGGGAGTGCTGTGGCCCGGAGTCTGCTCCTCCTTCTCTAAGGCATCCCTCCTTGACAAAGTCTTCACGCCTCCTTTTCCCTCCACAGTTTTGACTTGTCTTCCTCCATAAACAGGAACTTTGCCAGCGATTCATCTTGCACGTCTCATTTTCTTTCCCTCTCTCTCCTTGATCTCATCTCTGTTCCCTAGCACAGCAGGAAAGCCTTTCCCTAAGGATACAACTTCTAGGACTTGCTTCTCCAGCTCTAGACTCCTCTGCACCTCGGCAGTACTTTCTACAGTAGAGGCTCTTGGGCTTTGCAGCTCCTCCTGTGCTCGCCTGTCTGGAGATTTTAACTGTGCACAGACCGTGTTGAACCCCTTCCCATTCTCAATCATTTGTTTAAGTTTTCTGTGCCTTAGTTTCTTCATCTTTAAAGTGGGAACAATAGTGCCTACGTCACAGGCTTGGGGTGAGTTGACAGAGTCAGATAGTAGCAGTTCTTAGCAGTTCTTCAGAGAGCACTGTAGGAGGGGATGAAGATGGGGCTTCCCAACGCTGGGTGTTGTTACTGCCTTTTCCCAGACTTGCATGGCCACTTCTGCTCTCCAGGCTCTTCTTTCAGTGGTACATCTTGGCTCTTGTGGTCCTTTGGTAAATGTTCACAGCAGGAGTCAGGTGCTACCGTGAGAGATAGAACCCACGGCTAATAGGGAAAGTGATGCGTGGGTAAATGTCCGCATAGTGCAGGGTCTTACGGGAGGCAATTTCAAGGTCAAAATAGGTATTTGGAGCTGAGGCCCGTGTGTAAAGCCATGTGATCACACTTTATAGTGCAGTACTAGCTTGGAGTGAATGAGAAGAGCCAGGTGACAGGACGCTCAGCGTATGCCAACCGCTGGACTCCACTGCAGGCAATGGGGAGTCCCTTGCATCTCTGAGACTAGGAGAGAGTCTTGCAGGGTGAGTAAGATGCTGAGATTGTGCCTCAGTGTTTGTGAAGAGAAAATGAAGTGTTGCAAGCTTAGGCTGACTGTGACCGTAGGTCCAGAGATAGTGGCGGGATGCGATTAGGAAACAAACTTTTATGACCACATGCATGCTGTGGTCTTGGGACGTTGATATGTATGCACTGTGTTATAAGCTAGAAGGACTTCAGGAGGGTCCCACAGAAGGGGCCTGAGGGACTGGCCTAGTGAGGATCTGTGGAACATATGAATGGAGGTACCTGTGGGTGATGGGAGGGCTGGGCACTCCAGCTCATGATGAGGGGGGAGATGAGGGAGGAAGGTGAAGAGGGAGAGGAGAGTCCACAGGACAGAGAGCACCAGGAGCGGAAGGCCCGTGTTAGACTCTGCGAGCACCGCTATTTATGGAGGTAGTAAAGGGAGGCGAGCCAGAAAAGGACTTGTGGAAAGTAAAATCTCATGGTGGGGCCTTGTAGGCCAAGAGGAAGTTACAAAGTACACAACAGGGACTGGTTGATGGCTAGGCTTGTCGTTACAGTGACCATAATCAGGCGGCAAGAAGGCTGCACTGGCTGAGATGCTGGGGTGAACTTAGGCTCTAAGGAGAAGAGACCCTTGGTCTGAGTGTGGCTTCATCTGTCTTGACCCAGGGGGTGTGTCACAGCTGTTCACGGAGGCTCTCTCTGGCCAAACCAGTCCTCTGACAAAAGTATTCACTGCCCCTGGAAAGAAGCTTGAGAATCCCCCCAACAGGTTACTAGTTTGTCTTACCAGAGAATTGCCATTTCAGAGTGCCGACTTGAGCCCCAGCAGGGGAGAGACCAAACTGTCTGAAGCCAGGGTTCTCAAACTCTCTGACTTGAGAATTGTACGGCACCTGGGGACATACATCTATGTTCCCAGACCTGCCCTGATTCTGAGTCTGGAGTGGGGTCCGTGTAGTCTGTGTTGTTCAGGTTTTTTTTTTATGCTTCTGAAGCTCGTGGCGGGGGGAGGGGTATGCCTTGCTCTTTGTGAAAAGTGATCTAGAATGTTCTCTATTGTGTGAGTGACTCCACCCTCAGCTCCCTACACAGTCGGTCTCTGTCTACCCACAGCTCTCTCGAGGATCCAAACAGTAAGATGACACATGTCATCTGCTGGGAGGTCTCCCACTCTGCTGGGTGCAAGAGCAGTTTACTCAGCAAGGCATGCTCACCCCAGTACAGAGCCTGTAAACTCGCATGTGTGCCTGCTCCTAGTCTCGGTGTCTCTTGCGGCTCTCCCAGCTCCCATTCATCCCCATTTCTAACACTTGGCTTACTTTTGTTAACAGATTACAAACGGTCCAGAGTAGAGCCGTACGTAGTTTTATTTTTTAAGGTAGCTCCTTTGACGTAGGCCGCATCTAGCGCACATTTCCGCGGTCATATCATCTTGGTTACCCTTTCTAGTGAAGTGAGTGAGGCTGAACTGGCCAGTGGCATGACATTTCCGTTGTCACTAATCGCTGTCCTGTTGTTGACCATGCCACCCGTGGTGAAGTACATCATTTATAGTACAGCTGCTGCGAGCCCCACCTGCCGACAGCTGTTACTCTGTAGGTAAATTCTGCCGTGCCTGGCGAACAGCCTCTGCCAGCCAAGGGAACCTATTGTATGTGCCGAATGCCCGGCTCTCTGTAAACCCTGAAGTTCACAAAGACTTGGCTGGACTTGACTGTTAAGATGACATGCTGGCATTTGATGTTTTGTGGAGAACATGTACCATGTGCTTTCTAAGCAAGAGCCAGACCTGAGTGCCATTAGAGAGGAAGGAAGAGCAAGAAGGAGAATTACGTGAGCCCGGCCTTTTCCTC